TCTCTCCGTCCTTCATGCGGATTGCCTCGAAGTGAGTCCTCAAGGTCTGCACTTTCGCCTCCTTGACTCGCTCCACGCCGACGTGCATCGTCTTCAGTGTCTCCCATGCTAGCTTGGCGGAATCCTTCTCTGCCACCATGAGAAGAACGTCCTCCGGTAGCGCTTGATAGATGACAGCGAGAGCCATTCTATCCTTACGCTCTTCGACCTCGTCTTGCTCCACGGCTTCCCACACTCCTTGAGCTTGTAGGTTCACACGCATCTTCAACGCCCACACCGAGTAGTTACTCTTTGTGAGTAATGGATAAGAAAGCGTTACGTTCCCTTCTCTTTCGATCTTCGTTGCTGCCATATCTCCTATGATAGCTCTGCTCGGTGACGACATGTCCTTCGGCTTAGGCGCTCTGATACCAAATGTTGGTTCCAATTTAAAGGATCGCTAAAGGATAAATCGAAAAATAAGATTGGACTTTTGGGAATTCTCTTTTATTATTTTTGAAGGAGTGAAAAGATACAAGACTGTGTGTTTTTACAATGCAACACAACACCCAATTTTATACTAACTAAGACATACCGAAACAAAACAGGAAACATACATAATAAATGCAAGAGAATTAAGTGTCATCAATTCGCGCCTATTTGAATTGATTACACATATTTGAATTTAAGATTCAAATTCAAAATTAATGATATTGTCATATCTCTTATATTTAATTCAAAATTAATGCTATTATCATATCTTCTATATTTGTTCCACTAATTAACTCATACCTATTATGAAGTCACTAATTGTGTAATCAATTCAAATTTCCAATTCAAGATTAGTCTCACAAATAAATTTGGGAAATTGTCATGATGCATGTGGGTTTTAGTCAACCGGGATTTGTTTTTGCGGTTTGATCAAACACTACAGTTGGATATATTATTTTTCAATTATAGCTTTTACTTAGACGTGGTTTTCCACTATCACATTTAAGATGGATTTTTTATTGCTTGCATGAAGTATATTGGCTCATCTCGACCATCTCTAAAGTTTGAATTCTCCCTTGTAAGGCAGGAACTTGTATGCAGAGGTTTCTGTGTACACTTCATAAGGCATGACACCCGAATCATATTGCTCTAGTTTTCTAATTGCGTTGTTTTTTCTTGCTTTGATTCAATTTTTTTTTCTCTTTTTTTGTTTATTGAATTTGGATCTTTTTGAGAGGTGGGTCATTTGGAGAAGATCCTGTCCAGAGAAAAAAATGAGAGAGAGAGAGAGATTATTAAGTTTTGAGAGTGAATCTTTGAAAATATTTTTTTTTCTTTTGAGCAAGAAATAGAGGAATTTTCTTTAAGAAGCGAAAAGTCAAGGAGTTTTTTCTCAATCTTCTTTTTTTCCCTCTTGATGTGTTGATAAAAAGGCTGCAATGTGAATGTTTGGTGGTGTCCGTACAAGGCTTATTTTCGTTGTTTGTGTAAGAAGATGAGGACCTACATGGTGGGCGATGCTTTTATTAATAGAGTGATAAATCTTTACTAGTAATGATGGTCTTTTCCGATAGCTGCCCTCGTACAAGTGAGCTAAACTGTCATTGAAACGAATGGATACAACTATTTCGATAGGTGGGTTTAATTTAATAAAAATAAGTAAAAAAAATTGTATAACTGTATTTGTGCATAAATTGAAAGTTTTTTGTTTTGGAAATATTTTTAATGACTTAGTTTTTGTTTATATTGTTATGCATTCCATGTCATGCACAAAAAAATAGAGCAAACTGAATTTACTAGAATGTATCAAAACCAAATTTTATTAATTTTTGTAGTTTTGAAAATTAGACCGAGCATTGAATCGGTAGTAGGGGAGGTTCAAGTTTCAAAAATTGAACCAGGTTTCTACCGGGGTTCAACCGGATGACCTAATAAATCATAAATATATTTAAAAATAAAAATAGATAAGATTTGTCTAACACTAAATTCTTTAAATATCCAACGTCTAAAATTCAATTCTAACATGTTATTTTATTTATGCATGAAAGCTTATATTTCATTTTTTTTAAAAATACTGATATTTTATATGATATAGATGATTTTGGTGGTATAAATGTAAAAAAATATAGTTTAGAAGTTAGGTATGTAAATAAATAACATCGGGTGACATTTATATAAATTGAACTTTTTTTGTAATAGTAATGGTTTAGATGTGATATAAGTTATTTGGGTGGTATAAATGTAAAAAATAGTGTTTAGGCGTCACTACAGGAAAATGTCCAATTAGCTTTGGATTAGTGTCGAAAAAATTCTTACGTTAAAACAGGCGTAGCCAATTCACTTTGCGTCGGCATTTGCGATGGATTTTTGTTTACTTCCTTATTTGCGTCGAAAATTTTTGTCACTATAAATTTAAGCTAGAAAAACAGATGGCGTAAAATTCACGATCTATTAGCGTTGAACCCTCCGACGATAATAAGTGTTGGACATGGCCGACGCTAATTGACATTGACTATGCTTGAAGCTAATTAGTCTCAATTATGTCGGACGATGAATTCATGTCTTTTTTTTTCGAAGAGAATACTGCAACACTTAGCGTCGAAATAGTCCATCGTTAATTCAACGCAAACTTGTAACAAAAAAAAGAAGAAGATGACAATTAGATTTCCACATATCTGCACAGAACAAACACAAACAACATAATAAAATATTTATATATTATCAGAACTGATAAAAGAAAGCTCTAATATATCTAAATAATGATACTAAATTAAATTAATAATAAAACGATCAAAGAGTTTAATGTTCACAACCATAGAAGTTGAAAGTTCGATTAAACAGAGATGATAGAAACATATAATCAGCTCTTCTATCGGGGGAACATCATCAAACACATAATTAAAATCCTAATATTCGTTCTCATTATCATCCTACTTATCCTCTTCATGTTCCTCGACAAAACTCATATGTTACTTGTTCTGGTGAACAAAATTTTTCGTCAGACGTGCTAGACTATCTACAGCCATTTGCTGGCCTTCACACATCTGTCAGAGCTTTTCGTTCATCATTATGACCTGTCTGGCAAACTCCTCGTGCTGAGCTTGTAACGAGGGTTTAGGACCATCCATAACTTCAGGGAAATGCTCGGCCTCAAATGCCCCTTTACTCCAAGGTCGTACACTCTCTCTTTTTTCTTCCACGTTGCGTGCTTCCACAATTCAAAATCAGGCTGCACAGTGGTAAACTAACTACCACTATTGCTACCGGATGACGAGGATTGGCTAACCATCTCCTTCTGTCTCTCCAGAGTTGTTGGTACTCCTACATAACAAAATTCAAACATTAATTGACATTTTAAACATTAATTGGTATATTAATAACCCTTCAGAAAAATATAAAATTAATTTTTTAAAACTTAAATTGACGCACAAAGAGTTGTAGGATACTCACTGTTGTGTGTTTGCAGTCGATGTGTAAGGACATGTAATTTTGTCGTGGATGGCTCTCTGTCAAACTCATTGGTCTGTATACATGATCAGCTAAATATAATCACATAATTATGTAAATTTGTAAGATTCTAAACCAACAAATTAAATTATTTTTATAACAATAACATATTTAGTTATTTTTATACACTCAAAATAACATTTAATTTTTTTTAGTGTTTATAAAAAATAAACTAATTTAATTTTTTTAAAACATATATGTAAAAAATGTACTAAAAGTAAATAAAATTAAAAGGCATCACAAAAAAACTATAAGATTGTGTTTAGTGTTTAGTGTCTTTCAAAGCTTTAAACTAGCTTTTATTTCTTTTAAGATTTCTATCTTATAATATGCTCAAATAAGTAATATATGTGTGTGGATTTGTCTTCTTTTCCTCCTTTTAATCTTTTTTTTCTTTTAGATCTATTTCAAACCCTAGCCCTTCCCTTAACTATAAAGGTCTTATTTCTTCAAATTTTTCTGCTTTTACAAATTTTACTCTTTCTTATATACCTTACGAACAAGAGAAAGTTATCTTTTCTGAGCAAGAAACTGATGATGGATCTAAACATTGGAAACTTTCATTAGTCGGTTATGCTTTAGGAAGGAGACATTTTAATTGTAACATGTCTCAAATCATTTCTAAAATATGAAAGCTTAAAGGTGTGGTTGATATGTTATCTCTTGTCTCTTACAAAGGGTTTAATCTTTTTTTCTAATTGCCATACAAGCTATTGCTATTTGTATTTGGGTTGAAAGAAACCTTAGAATTTTGAATAAATTACATACCCCTAGTGATGTTATTATCAAAAATATTCTTGAGTTGGCAAAGTTGAATAGTAAGAAGTTAAAATTTAAGAATGGTATCTCCAATTATAATCTCTAAGTTTTGGTGAACTTGCTTTTGCCATTGGATCTTCTTTTCTTAGTGTTTTTCATATTTTGCTTTTTATTTTTTTCCATTAGCTTTGCTATGATGTACCTAGACTTCATTTTGAGAAACAACGTTTTTTTTGGGAATTATTCTTTGTATTTTTGTTATGTACTTACTTTTTTATATGTAACTTATTTTCTTTTACTTGTAGGGAGTTTTTTAATTGATTACTTGTTTGTTCCTCTAAAAATCTAGATTGAGTCTCTGTTTGTTGTCTGGGTTCTGATGTGCCCATACTTAAATTTGATACACTAGCTTTTTTCTTAAAAAAATTATGCTCTGTATGTTTGTTGTCTACACCTTTTTCTTATTCTTGGAGGGAATCTTTCTATCTTTTGATCTTAAGTTTCATTTATATTTTTATTAGGTTGTTTTTATCTTTAAACTAATCTAATATTTTGTTGTTCCTTTTAAACTGGATGCAGTCTCAATTTGCGATCT